AAGCCTCCTCTGCTGTTTTGTTCATCAGTCCTTCTCCACTTGTTGCATCTACCATCATCCTTTCGGAATCAAGCAAACCTTCATAGAAAGATTGCATTTGCATCCAACTCTCTATGTTGTGGTGTGGGCAAGAACTTATCATCTCCTTGTACCTCTCCCAACATTCATGAAAAGCTTCTCCTTCCTTTTGTGTGAAACCAAGGATTTCCTTTTGAATCTTGTTAGTCTTTTGAGCCGGAAAGAATTTCTGCAAAAACTTATTAGAAAGCTCATACCAAGTACGAATTGAAGCATCAGGCAAAGAGTATAACCAAGACTTAGCCTTATCTTTTAAACTGAATGGGAGTAGCCTCATCTTAATCTGCTCATCATCAAGGCCATGAATTTTGATCGCAGCACATATTTCAAAAAATTGCTTAATATGCATGTAAGGATCCTCAGTGGTATTACCATAATAAGTTGGAAGAAGATGAATCATACCACTTTTAAGCTCAAACCTGTCAACTGTGAGTTGAGGATAGACGATGCACAAAGGTTGATCGCTGACTTTGGGAATAGAAAACTCACGCAGGGGTTTTTGAGGTTGGACAACAAGTGCACCACCTCCTTCAACATTATTGTTGTTGTTCGGAATCTCTGCCATCGTGCTTGAACCTTCAGATTCGGAACTTTTAGAATCAGCGCTTGAAGAACTATAATTCCTCCTCAAACCAGCACGTACAGCAGCGGTTCTTGGTGAAAGTGGCTCAGGTGAACTTTGCTCCTGGTCAGATTCGGACATGCACACACCAAGGAACTCAATTCAGTGCTTTCAATGGAGATAACAACTAAATACAAAAACTGAATACTAAAAGAAAAACTAACGAAAAGAAACAAATGAAACAAACAAAAACAAAACAATCAAAGTAATCTAACTATAGCACCAACGTTACCGGTTCCCCGGCAACGGCGCAAAAAACTTGTTGGCTCAATTCCTAACAACTGGTTGGCTCAATTCCTAACAACTAAAATGAGTTATTAAAAACAGCAACTTTAATTCTCGCAAGTGCACGAACCGTTTATAGTATAGGTTATGTAAATACAAGGTCGATCCCACGGAGAATGGTAACTTGGTTCCAAGTTAAATTACTTAGAATGCTAGAAAAACATAGAACAAGGAAACTAACTAACTAGCTAAAAGCAAGGTCGAATTCAACAATGCCTCTTGCTAATTACTCAAGGTCTATGACAGAATCCTAGCACCATACACGCACTCAAAATGGGGGGTTTTATTGTTGAAATGAAAAGAAGAAAGTGAAATGAAAGTGCTCGAAAATAAACACTTGACAGATTGTGAAACAATAATTGAGAGGTGTTAGAGCCTTGGAATCTACCACTAGTCTTCCTATCCAAGTTATGAATGCATAGAAATTGACTCAAGCTTCATCAACAATAGATTATCGCATACAAGCCTATGGTATCTAGGTGCAGGATGCATGATTCTCCTAAGGCATATGATTATGCATGGTATCTACACAACACGTGATCTCTAATATGCAACCTAAGCATGATATCTACTTAGAATAAAGCATACAAGAGTCATTAAGCTCCTTGAAAATATGATAATCACACAAGTCCTAGAACATGGTATCTGTCCTAGTCAACCTATGGTTATTAACCCCTTGAATGATTCTTAGGCCATTCATGTGTTGCTTGTGAAAGGAGAATAGAATTGGTGAATCTAAACCCCTTCCCAACCTGTGCTAGATGCATAAAATCCTAGTTAGCTACTCTAAGAAAACATACATCAAGCACATAATAAACTAGAGATTAACAACTTGGTAATGAAAGCAAGGAAATCAATTAACTATAAAATCATCCATAACATTGAATATTCATGACTAGGGCTTCATCCTAAGCCCTAACTAAATGGATTAGTTAAACATAACTATGAATACAGAAAATAAGAAA